ATAACAATAAACATATTACATGTGATGTATATGCCTATGTGATATGAAATGTGTTACAGAAATTATATGATGATATGTACATTGTTTGGTTAATAATGTTAAGTACAAGAGCTTATAACTAAGAGATATAATTGATAATAATGCTAATAATGATAAGAATAATAATAAGGATAATGAAATGATATGTATATGTATGTAATTATGTTTTGATGCATAATGCATTCTATAGTTTATTATGATTACATGAAGTGTACATAGTAGGAATTAGTAATGATATGTTATAGTAAGTTTATTTATGCCTCATTAAGTCATCGACTTAGCGTGTGAGTGTTTCACACATGGGTTATGGGATGCAAGAAGAGAAGCTAAGAGGAGCAAGACAGGTCAATTTCTCCTTACCGAATGTCAGATCAGAAAATAAATGGATATGTTTATGTATTTTAGTATATTGAATATAGTTGGCATGTACTAAAAAAATTGAGTTAAATATGCTCTGATATATTTTGTAGAACCAATTGATTTTTAATTAATGTAAAGTATTCATTTTCTTAAATTGTGAATTTAAATTTTGCTAATTTTTAAAGGAAAATGCTTTGAAAAGTCAATTTGACACCTCAGACTTGGATCCGGGTCGGATACGGGTTGGGGGTGTTACATTTAATGGTATCAGAGCTAAGGTTTACGATTCTAGGCTTAAACCGAAGTCAAACGAGTATTAATATGTGTACATGCCAACATAAAGTAAAATTTCTGATCTGATAATGTAATGAGTGTGTTGTCTTGCTAATAGAATTAGATAGTTACATTATAATAGAAATATGATAATGAGAGTTTCAAAATGAAGTGAGAGGTGATAGAACTGATGGTGGTAGTAATTCATTTGTCCTGGCCATGTAAGATGAAGAGCAGACACCTCAGGGAACGCCTTTATAAAAGTTAAGGATTGTTTTCGGAAGATTGAAAACGCATTCGAATAGCATTAGAAGGTCTCCACTGTTATGAATCAGAAAAGTGATATGGAGTAGTTTTGTTATTACGTGGATAAGATAGAATATGGTGGACAAGTGTCACCATAAGAACATTAAAGATCAAATGATGTGGTTAAAATTGTAGAAGAGTTTAAGAATAAGTACATCGGTGACAAGTTTATAAGATAAATGAAGTTAGAGTTTATAAGTTTGAAACAAGATAATTTCACCGAATATGACTACGAGTGCAAATTCAATAGGTTGAGCAAATTGCCAGTGAGTTATTTCGACTGAAAAGGGATATTGGTATTGTGATTTGAACAAGGATTTTAAAAAGAATAAGATTTGTACAAACAGTGTGGATTATCAGAGTTATGAAGACGTGATAAAAATGAGTAATTATAGATAAGTATAAGTAATATGAAAAGAGTATGAGAGCCTAAAGAAAAAAAATATGATCTAAGTTACAAGGAGATCTTGATTTGTGGATGAATAAATGGGTAAATAAATCAAATGAAAAAGGGATTAAAGGATTACATATGACAAAAGTTATATGGAAGTGCAATTATAAGTTTGATATAGAAGTAAGAAAAGTGTGTAAGGTGATGTGAAAAGATTGTTTGATTCCGTAAAGTATATGTTTAATCATATTTGATAAAGATTTAAGGTTGTGTTTCTCGGTCAAATAAACGTAATCAGAGAGATAAGAATTTAGCTAAGGAAGTTTAAGATACAGTCGAATGATTATATTCTTTTGATCATGTTGTCAAGGAGAAGCATGCTATTTTTAATGATAATAGAAGAAAGATTTGGTTTATGGAACAAAACAATTAGAAAATGACAAAGGAAATCACTTGAGTCATGATCGTGAATGGTAAGGATTGGGATTATTGTCTATATGATGAGTAACATTATATGGATCTATAAGAACGAATGTAGATGAAGAATTGAGTAAGTGAAAAGGTAAGTCTATTAACGATAAACATGAAAGATTAAGTAAAGGAAGCAACATGAGGATATAAGAGATATGTTCTTATTATGTTCTTATCGATTTGTATAGTGAAAAATCGAGGACGAATTTTCTTAAAGGAGGGGAGATTTGTAACATCCCAAAAATCAGGTTAGTGATAAAAATGAAAGTTTTTGAACACTTGGTGCTCAATTTCGAAATAAGTTAAAAGTTCAATGACTAAATTGATTTTTTGTGAAAGATTGATTAGTCAAAAAGGAAATGTGTGAGGGTATAGTGGTCTTTTTCCAAGAAAGATTTTAGCTTTCCCCTTTTGGTGGAGTATAAACACGTGGAGAAGGAAGAAAAAGAAAAATCTGGAGACTTAGGAGTTCAACAAGCTTCTTCTTCTTCTCTTTCTATGTCTCCATAGCTAAGGTGAGAAATCTTTCAGTTGGTTAATTCTTGTAAGTTTTGAGTGAGTTTTATTATTGGGATGTTAGTTAAGCTTAAGGAAGCTTAAAATGGTTTAAAACTCAAAGATGAACAAGTTATGAGAGATTAAGTAAAATGGGTTTTTGAGTGAATTATTGAAATAGAAGGAGTTATTGGATTTTGAAGTTGAATTTGACTTGTCATAAGTTGATATAAGAAATTCAAAGTGTTAGAAATGAATTTGGAACATATTGATTTATTGGCTTGATTATTGAATTCAAGTGTGTATGTAGGATATTGGATATTAAGATGAATTAAAGTAATCTAAGTTGATTAGAATAAGTGTAGTTAGCTTAAAGAACTTAAATGAGGTTTAATATAAGATATAAGTAAGTTTGGGTGAATTTTCGAGCTAAAAAATGAATTCTAGGCATGGGTTATCGATATTGTTCATCTAGTACCGATACTTCCAAGAGAAAAAGGGTCAAAATTTGAGTGAGGGTATTGATACCATATGAATGAGTAATGATACCATAAGACAGAAATTTATAAATTGTTCATGGGGTATCGATATCTGGGAAGGTAGTATCGGTACCAAGGGTACCGATACCATAAGATCAATATCAGTACTATTTTTGAAATAAGGATTTCGAATGCAAAATGGGTATCGATACCAGGCTTGGTATCAAAACCACAGCTAGGGAAGTATCGATACCCTACGAGGGTACCAATACCACTCTAAATAGAAAATAGAATTACGCTTTTATTTTAGTCTAAGAAATTAAGGATCAAATTATGATAATTGGAATGCTGATATGTATATAATATGTATAATTGTGTAGATATCGATCGAGAGCAAAGTCCGAACAAGTCGACAAGTATTAGGCATCGAGAAAAATATAAGAGAACAGTATTGACTAGTAAGGCTAGGTGAGTGCATACTAGTTAATTTATGATGTTTAATGGAAATAGACTTGCGATGAGTCTATTTCCTATATTATGATGCATGAATTTATGAATATAGGCATGTGTTGATATGATTGTTGTGTGTGATTGAGTACTTGAATGTTATTGTATATGTTATATGATCTGTGTAAATATATGTTAATGTAATGAAGCTATGTAATATGATACATATATGACAAAATTGATATAAAGAATTATATGAATATGAAATACAAGCTATGTGAATAAATGATCACAAGATATAAGTCATGTGACAGGATATATGTGAATATATGAGAACATGATATCAGCTATGTGATATGATCTATGTGATCCTATGAGAATGTGACATGAGCTACATGACCATATGAGAATGTACATGAGATTATATGTGTATGTGATATGAGCATGTTAATATGTGATAAACAAAATGATAATTGCCCATGTTATGTGTCATGAGAGCTAGAGGTATAGTTGGCATGCCAACAGTCGAGGATTCTACGTGGTCCTTCGGGACATATATGTAATCTTTTGGAACATATATGCGGTACCTCGGGACACTTATTTGGTCCATTGGAATATGTATATGGTTCTTAAGGAGTGGTCCTTTGAGATATATGTGTTATATGTGGTCATTCGGGACAAATTCTACGTGGTCCTTCGGGACAAATTCTACGTGCCCTTAGTAGGAATTATACGAGTTGTGGTGACAGTATATGTGCACAACCTCTATGTACTTACATATCTTTAGTTCTCACATGTGTACATGGGCTAACAAAAAGATAACAATAAACATATTACATGTGATGTATATGCCTATGTGATATGAAATGTTTTACAGAAATTATATGATGATATGTACATTGTTTGGTTAATAATGTTAGGTACAAGAGCTTATAACTAAGAGATATGATTGATAATAATGCTAATAATGATAAGAATAATAATAAGGATAATGAAATGATATGTATATGTATGTAATTATGTTTTGATGCATAATGCATTCTATAGTTTATTATGATTACATGAAGTGTGCATAGTAGGGATTATTAATGATATGTTATAGTAAGTTTATTTATGCCTCACTAAGTCATCGACTTAGCGTGCGAGTGTTTCACACAGAGGTTCTGGGATGCAAGAAGATAAGCTAAGAAGAGCAGGACATGTCAGTTTCTCCTTACCGAAGGTCAGATCAGAAAAGAAATTGACATGTTTATGTATTTTAGTATATTGAATATAGTTGGCATGTACTAAGAAAATTAAGTTGAATATGCTCTGATATGTTTTGTAGAACCAATTGATTTTTAATTAATGTAAATTATTCATTTTTTTAAATTGTGAATTTAATTTTGACGGAAAATGCTTTGAAAAGTCAATGTGACACCTCAGACTCTGATACGGGTCGGATACGGGTTGGGGGTGTTACAAAATTAGATATAAAATCATTGTTTAAAAACTTATTTGATATTTTAGCAATAGTCTAGGAGTAAAATCAAATGTTAAATTGTTCATTAACGTTATCACATCATCAACTTAATAGAGATAATGATCAAATGGTGATTTTGTTACAAATTAATAACGTTAGTGATTGTTTTTTATTTTACCCTTATATAACGTAGAGTTGTAAATTTAAATTTTTTTGGTGAATAAATCCGGATTCAATTTCATTGAAATTCGGAGTACAAAAAAAGCAACGACCTTCATCGCCCTTCCATCGTCGCTCATCTGTTCCTTTTTTTAAACTATAATTTTAAAAACCCTAGAATTTCTAATTCTCAGGCAATTATTTTACTCCGAAATCATGGATCAATACTATAATCACTATCAATCTTACAATCAATGGCGGCAACCATCGCCGCCGCCACAGCAACCTAGCCTGTGCCCGGTTTGCTCAATTCCCCACCTCCCAATCTGCCCTCCCCACCCTCCTCCTTACCATCATCAAAATCCTAATTACCCTCAGCATCATAATTACGCCCGACCCGTATTTGATCCCTACCAACCTCCGCCGCCGCCACCACCACCACCACCAGCCCCAGCACCGCCACCTCCTCCTCCTTACGTCAATGGGTTTGCGGATTCTAGATCGTGGCATCCAAACCCTAATTCCGACCACGATTATGCTACGGCTGGTGTCGGTGAATTAGATCGGAGTTACAAAAGGCCTAGGATTGAGGATATTGGTTCGGCTCCTGCTCGGATTTCGAAGGAGGATGAGAGAAGATTGAAGTTGATTCGTGATCATGGAGCTGCTTCATTTAGTGGAGTTAACAAGGAGAATAAATCTCCCCATTTTAATATTAATAACGATAACAATGTCAACCTAATGCCGCCAAGGAGTTCGGAGATGTATAACATTGAAGATTCACTTAATAATTGTACTGGTTATTATGGTAATAATAATTATAGTCAGCCGCAGCTGGTTCAGCAAAAAGATTCAATGCCCACGGCAATCAATCATTGGCAAGGTTATGAACAGAGAATTGGGGGTCATTTGCCACACCCTGGGGGCAATCACATGGCCCAGCCTCCTCTTCCAGCTTCTCCGCCACCACCTCTGCCCGTGGAGGCGTATTCTTCATCACCCAGTTCATCAGTTTCTTTATTTCCTTTAGGTGATAGTTCATCAGTCACAGCGCATTCCAGTTATCCGGTGGCTATTGAGCCTTATTATCAGAACAAGCCGCCTCATGCTTCTGGTGGATTCCATAGGGAGGTAAATGGGTCCTTTTTAATTGGTTTTTCAGCATTGGTCTTTGAAACTGTATTTACAGGGATGAAAATTACTGTCTTATAATATTAGGATCCCCAAGTTATTCATAGGAGTTCCTCAGTGAAATATGGGGCAAATCCTCCAAAGCAATTATCTTCCGATAAGCCTAAAGTTTTGATGCTTCCGAGCTGTTTAAAATGCCTCACAGAGCTTCTCGGCCTGATCATATTGTGATAATTCTTCGAGGGCTACCAGGTAAGTTATATTTGATGCTTTTACCGTTTTTTTTTCTTTAGCTGCTGGAATGGAGACAATCATTGGCTAACGTTTGCTAACTAATAAAATTAAGGTTAATTTATTCTCATCGAGTATATATTGACATTTAAGAATTAAATGTTTCACTTTTAGTGGCTTTTAGCTGGTAAAAATGCAACTTTGCTGATAGTGACTAGTGAGTTCAGACATTTTTGAACTGATTGGTTGAAGTTGAAAATATGCGTATCTTTTATCAGAGAAAGAAAAATGAAAATAAACTTGTTCTTGGTTCACCACTTGCTAAACTAGAAACTAGATCCGGATTACAATTTATTTATGATTCATTTGTACTTTTCTTTCCTTTTGAGTCGGTAGTTTTAGTTTCTTCCTGTTATATTGAAAGATGTAATGATAAAGTTAATATGTTATTTCTCACTTGTGAGGTAATGAAGCTCATCAATGTTATGGGTTCCCGGAAATAGAATTTTGAAGTGCCATTAACGGAGACGTAAGATGATGCTTTCACTTTTTATCGTGAGCGAATGCTAGATAACCTCATTCGCTGTTGAGCATCTGCCGGTTATCCTCAATTTCCTCAGAAAATGCTATGGATGTCTCTTATGGTCATGGTGCATGATAATAATCTTTATGGCCTTTATATGCTGATAAAGGAGATATGCTGAAGATGCCATTATTCATTAACTTTATGATCATGTTTAACTCAATAAGTTTACTTCCATTTCTTTAATGTTTAGGTAGTGGAAAGAGCTACTTAGCAAAGATGTTACGAGATCTTGAGGTTTATAATGGAGGTGATGCTCCTCGAATCCATTCCATGGATGATTATTTTATGACTGAAGTTGAAAAGGTCTGTTAGTCTGTCTTATATCTGTTTGATATTCATGAACAGTTGGAGAATTAGCTGTTTTGGAAAATTATAACATGTTGCATGTCCTATGATTTAAAGGATGAGGAGATAAAAGTTTCAAAATCATCAAGTTCAGTTCGAAGTAAGAAAAGAGTGAAGAGGACTATTATGGAGTACTGTTATGAACCTGAAATGGAGGAGGTAAGCTAGTAATTTACAAAAATGGGCAATCTTTAGGTGCTTGAGTTGAAATATCTGTTAAAGACATTTTTACTACTGCGTTTTGCGTTGCTGCTGAAAACATTGATTCGTTGATTATTCTGGCAGATTGGACAAAGTCTCCAATCTGGGAATGTGCATAGCCTCTTGTCAATTCATGCTGACTGATTTAGCTTGAGCTTCATCTAAGTTAATATTATGGTCTGCTCAACTGATTTCTGATATTTGTTTGGCATGCGTTGTATAAAAGAAGGCTGAGCTATACATTTGACATTTAAAGATCAAAACAGTTACCAAACACTATTGTTTTCAAGATTTATCCTTATATTCCATGCTTATTAAATGGGGGAAAACCCGTGAACATTAAAAATGTGTCCAACTAAAATTATCTTCAAAATTCTAGTTCTATTATTGCTAAATAATCACAAGCTTGCTGTATTATTCGTATGCATTCAAATAAGTTAGATGCGAGCAGGGAAGCAACCTAATCTTTGTATTTCTAAGGGCAATATTTCTTTACTAATGCATGATACCTGCACTTATCATTTTATAAAGAATTTGATGTCATGTAATGATATGCTACAGGCATATCGAGAAAGCATGTTGAAAGCATTTAAGAGGACCCTTGAAGATGGGATCTTCAGTTTTGTAATTGGTATGGATCTTCAATGAAATTTTAGACTAATGAAGACATTCGATTTTTAGCTATCTCTATTATTATGGCCTTTCTGTTCTTAAAGTGGATTAGATCATTAGATGATGTTTGTTGTCAAGAAATGAAGTTTATACTTGTATGGTTACATGTTTCCTTTTGGTCTGATGATTTTGTGGTGATGTCTATTTTTTTATATTTTCAAATCCCTCTGTTATTAGCGGTAGCATAAAGATCTTTCCTTTCAGTTCTTCATGTGCCTGCTGTAGTTCAACATGGTTTAGAAAACCGAGGATGTCTTTAACTCTTTTCTCACTTCTTTCACGAATAGAGAGGAAAAAAATGGGACAAGGGAATGCATAGGCTTCTTTAGATGAAACAATTAAACACCCTTCCAGTTATGCTGGCTTATTACAGCATTTAATTTCATAAGTGATCTAGCTTCATTAGCATTTAAGTTGTCAAGCAGTGCCCATGCACTGCTTCATTTTCTACTAACTACAGATGCAGTTTTTGTTCGACAATTGACCCTTATCTTCTTGGTATGTGTGCTTCATCTTAGTGGATGACCGCAATCTGCGGGTAGCTGATTTTGCTCAGTTTTGGGCAATTGGAAAGGTATACTCTCAATTCTTTCACACCCCTCTCTGCAAGTATATTCTCTGGAAATACTTTAAAGTTGTGCGGGTCTTCATTTGCATAATATGAGTCTTATTGTAATTTAGGGGGAAAGCATTAATGTGCTGCATTCTTTTTGAGTTTTCTTCCTTATCTTTCGACTTCAATTGAAGTATTTTGTTTTCCTTGTGAATAATTATCTATTTTTCCATCCAATTTATTTTATCTAATCTCTTTTACTGCATTTTTTTTATAGGAAAAGGAGGTCTCATAAAAAACCTCCCTCATATTTGCCTTTGAGAAGAGGCAACTAGTGGAAGGAGGAAAAGAGTACCTCAGTAGATTAATAAACCAAGATTACATAAGACTAAAGATTACAAATAAACACCCTAAATAAAATACCAAACATAACCACTAAAACACTAAAGACAATCAACCTATCCCCTCCTTAGCTAACTTGTCTGCCTCCCAATTACAAGCCCTAGGAACCAGCCTAACCATAATGTCCCTAACAGAAATTAAATTCCCAATTTCCCCAATCAAAGAACTGAAAAACGAAGGGGCAGCAAAAGGCCTCAAAATCCAATCCACTGCCGTTTTACAATCACTCTCAAGTATTAGTCTTCCCTTCAGTACCCATTCCGAATCAACAAACAAATCAATGCCTTCTTTAATAGCTTTCAACTCAGCAAACAAAGGAGGACCTGGTCCCACAGCCTTAGAAAAAGTGATCAAAGTAGAGCCAATCGAATCTTTCAACAATCCTCCAATTCCACCCTTCAAGCCATCACCTCTAACCGCCCATCCACATTGAATTTGTAAAATTCGTCGTGACGCTTTGGTTACGAAGGTTACCGGGGTCTAGGTTTATGGATGGATTCGGTCACCTCAAACTCAATCAATATCAACAACATGTCGTGACGCTTGGTTGATTTTGTCAGAAAAGAAAGTGGGTTTCGGGGGTTCATTGATTAGTACACCTCCGGTGCTGGTAAGGTCGAGACCGTGGTCGTCCGTCTCCGGTTTGCCGGCCGATAAGATCTCTGAGATTGACCAGCCAGCTGGGTTGGTTTGGCTATTCCTTTCTATTGAAAAGGAGTCAGTTGTCTGCGCAAGTCACCTTCTTTTCTTCTAGGCTCCGCTGGACGTCAGCATTTGGTACTCTCTCGATAGCTTCAATAGTTCACTGAATTTGGTATAATGAACCGCAAGCCCTTCAGAAAGAAAAAAAAGCTTGGTTGCAGGAACCGACGGTGACGAAGGTTACCGGGAAACGACGTTCCGTTCCCTTTGTAAAGTAGGCCTTTTGATAACTAATTAGAGTTGACATGAAATGGATCACGGAAGAAGACGTATCCGATGAATGGTGGAGGTGGAAACCAACAGAGATCCTTCTTCTTTTTAGGAGAATTAACTGCACTCTTGTCTGCAAGCCGAGAATCCCCTATTAATAAATCGACCTGGATATTAGCCTTAGGAAATTTAGCTAAAAACCATTTGGCAAGCCTTAATCTGCAAATGAAGAACAAAGTATGACTGTCAAAGTTCAAATTTTCAAACACCACTAAATTCCTAGCCTTCCAAAGCGACCACAGAACCACTCCCGGTGTAAAATTCCAAATAGAAGAAGAAGGCCTTATAAAAGACCAAGAGCAAAGTAAAGACAGGGGATCTCTTGGCAGAACTGTAGTAACCTCCCATAACCTGATGAACCTATTCCACAGCTCCCAAGCAACAGGACATAAAATAAAGAGATGATGAATTGTTTCTTTTTCCGTTTGACATAGAGGACATAGTAAATCTACAAGAGGAACACCTCTTTTCTTTAACTCCACTCTAACAGCTAGTTTTAGATGAGATAGTTGCCATAGAAATGTTTCAACCTTTGGAAGAGCCAATCCAGACCATACCCATTTGTTCCACTGAAAATTCCCTCCAGAACTACGTGTAAGTGCTGATCTACAAGCCTTAATTGAGAACAAACCATCTCCATTTCCTGAAAAAGTCAGGAAATCATCAACTGAATCCATCAAAACAATATTATCAATCAATGTCATTAGAGAGATCCATTGATTCAATTCTCAGTCGCATAAATTCCTCCTTAATCGAATGTTCCAAACCCAACAACTGTTTTCATAACTACCGAAGTCTGCAACTGATCCTGATTTATTAGTCGATAAAGCATAAATCCTAGGGAATTGTTCTTTTAAAGTAGAATTATTCACCCAAACGTCATTCCAGAATGCAATTGATTTACCATTCCCCACTTGAATCATCGAATTATACCTCAAACAGTCCCCAATATCATCCTTTTTTGCATAGTTGTTCAAAATTCCTCTCCAAATCCATGAATCATGAGGGTTTGCAGCCTTAGTAATTGATAGGGTTAAATTACTGATATTATGCTTGCAACATACCATCTTCTTCCATTGAGAGTCTTTCTCATTTGCAAACTTCCAAACCCATTTCCCAAGTAACACTCTATTAACCATAGACAAATCCATAACTCCCAAGCCAACCTCCTCGTAAGGTTGACAAACCGATTTTCAATTTACCCAATGAATCCGTTTCTTCATAGGACCATCCCCCCAAAGGAAATTAGCCATCAAAGAATTCAGTTTATGATTAATCTTTGAAGGAATTTTGAATATAGAGAGGAAAAAAATCGGCAAGGATGACAAAACTGCCTTCACTAACACTAATCTCCCTGCCATCGATAATGAAGTAGCTTTCCAACCTGCTATTTTGCTGTTAAACTTCTGAATTACTGGTTCCCACAACAATTCTAAATTTTTGTTTGAACCAATGGGTAACCCAAGGTAAGTCATAGGAAAAGCCCCCACACCACAACCTGCAATAGAAGCTCAATCCTTTAGAATCTCCTCATCTAAATTAACACCAAACAACTTACTCTTGGATAAGTTAAGATGTAGTCATGACATTAAACTTAAAACCCTCAAAACTCTCCTTATATTAAGAATCTGAGTAGGAGAATCCCTGCAGAATAGTATTAAATCGTCTGCGAACTGCAAGTGAGTCAAATGGAACATATTATCATCCCTACCAACACTGAACCCTTCAAACAGAGCACAATCAGCAGCCTTGGTCAGCATTAAATTCAGTAATTCCCTAACTATATTAAACAGGAGAGGAGACAAACTGCATCCTTGTCTCAACCCTTTGCCCATCTTAAATTCCTTAGTTGGAGAACCATTGACTAGGACAGAAATAGAGGCAGATGAAATGCAAAAATCAATCCAAGAAATCCACCTATCTCCAAATCCCATAATTTTCAGTAATCTCAACAAAATCAGCCATTCTACCGAGTCATAAGCTCTTCGAAAATCAACCTTGAAAACAACACCTTTCCTCCCTTTTTCCTCCAAAAATCAATAGCTTCATTGGCTAAAAAGGCACAACCAAGCAACTGCCTTCCAGGAATAAATGCGAACTGTGAGGGACTTACAATATCCTTAATAACAGAAACAAGCCTTCTAGCTAGGAGGACTTTGGAAATTATTTTGTAGAGGCTGCCAACTAGGCTGATCGGTTTGTAGTCCTCAATTCCTTCTGGATTTCGGATCTTGGGGATCAAAGAATGCATGATTGACCCCATGCTCCCAAGTCTTTCCATTGTAAAAATTCTCAACAAATTTCATAATAAAAGGCTTCAAGATTGGCCAGAATTTCTTAAAGAAACCCATGGTGTAACCGTCTGGACCCGATGCTTTGGCACTATCCGAATGAAAAACTGCCTCCCACACTTCTTGTTCAGTAAATTTCTCCTCAAGAACCTTTTTTTAATCACTTTCAATTTAGCAAACTCCAGATCCATTTTATCCACCTCTAGAGTAGTTTTCCTATTATAATTATCCTTGAAGTACTCAAAAACAAAGCTTCTCAACTGCTCCGGTTCTGAAATAACATCATCTGCTACCTTTAATGCTGAAATGTTGTTAATTCTATTCCTATTAAGTGCACACAGATGAAAATACTTTGTGTTTCTATCCCCATCTTTACTCCATTTCACTCTTGACATCTGTAACCAAATACTCTCCTCCCTATCCAAATTCCACAGTTCCTTCCTCGATAAAACAAGCAGGTCTCTTTCTTGAGCAGATATCCCCCCCTGCATCTTCAGTTCCAGACCATTAATTCTGGCTTCTAAATCTGTAATATCATCAAAAATCCCCCTCTGGTTATTCCTTGGCCACTTCCTAATAATCTACTTAGTTCCTTTAAGAAGTGAAAACAAAACCCCTACAACCAGTATCTTTCCTCAGTTTTGAAAAAGAATTTTCCACCAGCCTAGCAAACTCATCTTCCTCAAGCAAATAGTTGAAAAAACGAAACGGTTTCGGATCCCAATTACTGCAATCTTCTACTAACACCACTGGATTATGATCCAAGAGGGATTTAGGAAGCATTTTTTGAAGCACTTTAGGGAACTGATTTAGAAAGAGTCCACTTATCAGAAATCTATCAAGCTTTACCCAAGTGGGGTACTCTCTATTATTGTACCAAATGAATCTCCCCCTACTAACGGTAAATCCAACAAATTATAAAGCTGTATAAAAGAGCTAAACAAATCCATAGAATACCAATTCTATGTAAATCCACATTTCTCTTCAGGAACCAGATAAGCATTAAAGTACCCCCCTATGCAGACAGGCAAATTCAAACTTTGCAGAAAACACAAAAATTCCCTGAAAAACTCTTCTTTATCTGCCTCTACTGATGTACCATACACATTTATAATAATACATTCAAAATTGCTCATCTTGAACTTCCCTGATAATGCTAAAAATCTGCTGTGGATATGTTGTGCACTGACCTCAAAAAAATTCTCATTCCACAAACACATCAAGCCACCTGCAGAACCATCTGCTGGAAAAAAACAACCACCTCTAAGTAAGTTTTCCCCAAGCTTCCTCCTTAATCCACTTCGACAAACATTAAGTTTAGTTTCCTGTAATAGCAAAATAACCGGCTTTTCTTTGTTCACCATTCTTGACAATGCTCTAATTTTTTCCATTTTCCCAAGCCCCCTAACGTTCAATGTAATAATTTTTAGTGATGGCATTTGATTAGATTATCAATAAACGCCAAAAACCATCCGCAAGAAACAATCAGGAACCCTTTTCAGACCCCCGCATCTGCATCTTGAAAATCTCTTCTTCTAAAATCCGTTGTCCCCCTTTAAAAGAAATTCCCAGCATGTCACATAGCTCCCTAGTAGCTGCAGCTTCAAACCTAGCTTGAACATACTCTTGAGAAGGCTGAGAGAGCTCCCTAACATGTTCCAGGGATTCCCTGACCATACTATTAATCACCCTTCTATAAACTCTATCATAAAAGCTTATATCCACTTCGCCATCCAAGCATACACTACCCGAATAACAGGGTGCAATTCTTAACCTTCTCTGATTCGTTAATTTAGTTGCTCTAAATCGGCCCTGAGCAGAATTTTTTGAGGAATCCAAACTGCTTTCCTTTACTAGATTACTGTCATCCATCATTGTTCCTGAACTGATTCCATCTCTTAATACCGAGATTCGATCTCTTACACTCATATTTGAACTGTTACCCTCCTTAAGGCTGCCCAGGTAATCCTCCATAACCACCTTCTTCTTTGAACCAAGCGCTTGGTCACCAAAAATAGTATCCCTCTATAAACATTTATGCGTATGAGAACCTAAACCAAGATCCCCATGAGTACTCCATTGTCGAACATATTGCTCAATATCCAAGCCTATTCCTTGACCATCTTGTACCAATTCCTTCTCCCCCCGTAATTAAAGTCACCAGCCTAGGATCAACATCTTCTATAGTATCATATGATTGGTTGAAGTATGAATTTATCTCCAATCCATTTTATATTAAAAGCAGGCTCAGAAAGACAAATTCTCTTAGTAGTATTAAAAGAAACTTCATTATCATCAAATTGGGCTTTTTCATCCGGTAAAACATTTTCTCTCAGACCCAGCCCCACATGACCTCCCACTTGTGTAGTCCTATTTTCCATAAAACCTGACAGCCCACAATGAGAGGTTTTTGCAGTTGACTTTCTTGATGTAGCTTGTCTCCCACTAACTCCATTCAAACCACTATTCTGGCCATTATTCAACCAAGAGTTAACTTTCTGCCTAGATATCTCTGCTGACTCTTCTCTGTCAACTGCCAGAGCAGGAACACGATCATCCTCTTCCACGGATAAGACATAATCACTGTTCAGCTTATTTGAAAATTTCTCATTCATCTTCCTCCCCAACTCCTCTCGTTGCTTGAACACCGACCCATGGAAATCTTAACTTTGAATGATCTACCATAAGAACCAATAGTAATCGATTCTGGAACATCGAAAGGGCTCTCCACCCTGAGCAGAACTTTTGCCGACGTTAGATCAGTTCTATTCTTTGATTCTTCCTTAAAACAAATAAACCTTCCCCATTTCACAGTTTCTCTATGAAAGCCTCATTCCAGCATAATAGAGGCAAACCACACATTTCTATCTGACATAGAGCCAAAGGAATTCCATTATCGTTTAATAATGGAGCCAACCAATCAAAACAGATGGAAAGCTCTTCCTTCTTGTTCTCCCATATATATGTGAATTCATCAACCGAGTCAAAAGTAATGATACAAGCCTTCCAAGCATAACCCCATCTCGAAACTTGGACTCCCAAACCCTCAATCTCCAATGCTTCCTTTATTGACTCATACTCAAAAAAGGTTTCATTATTCCTGTCAATGATCTTTTAACCCATGCCAAGTTATCTGCCGGAATATGCATCTCCCACACATTCCTCACACCATTGGCATTCCGTTTGATACCCTCCACGTTAATCTTTGGCTTTATTCTCTTCTCCTGTTACATCAGACTTCACAACTTCCTTATACGACCTGCCATCCCTGAAGCTTTTCATCGACGATGCATTGCTCCCCTTATAAGACGTATCCTGCTTTCCTGACTTGATCATCGACGAACTCTTCCCATCAACAATGTCCTTCCTATTTGCATTCTGATACTTAGCAACCCCTACAAAGATTCTCCTCCCATCGAAACACTTCCCATTCACAAACTGGATTGCTTTCTTCCTACTGTCCTCATCCGCAAATTGGACAAACGCAAACGTCGAGGACTTGTAATTAGATTTCTCTAAAAACCGTGGAATAAAAATCCTCAGAATCCGACCAGAAGGACTAAAATAATCCCTTAACACACGTCTTGACACCCTCTTACTGAGATTATTAATGAACACAGTCCATTCCTCAACGGAAGCAATGGACTTTTTCGATTTTTCTCTACTTCTCTCTCTACCTAACGCATTCATTCTCCCTCTATGATATAAGTCCTCTTTTACTGCATGCGAAAAATAGTTTTACCCTTCCAAGAAATAAATATACATGTTATGTAATCCTTTTGGATTGGAACTTGGAAGTCTTGGTTTCTTCCATTCATTCATTTTTTATCATTAGTGTTGTTTTCTTGTTCCCCTAACTGGAGGTTCTGGTTTGGGTTTGAAAATGTAAAGTGGTTGATGTTTTGGTGAAAACTGTAATTCTTTGTAAATTGTACGAAAGAATCGTCATTCTTTGTAACTCTCATTTCTCTGGTCAAGAGTAATTCAGTTTTAAAAAATTAAAGCAAAAGAAGGGGAAAATAGGAAGCTATCGGTCATGCTTGTTATAATTGTAATTCAAGGCCAGTTGTGTCATCTTCAGAAGGTTCAGACCTGTTCTGCAATGTTGATCATAAATCTTTATTTTAAGTTATTACTTATTTTCTTTTCTTCCATTAGTTCCCAATAAGCTTTTGACATATTGTTCCCCATACCAAAATTGAATACATAGGTTCATGTCAAAATATTATAATATCATCTAGAATTTCAATTTAAGCATACTAAGTCGTTATTGATATTCCGTATGCCATGTGTTGCCCTTTCAAATTTGAGGCGTGGAAGAGCCTATATTAAGGACCTAGTATTTGTCTTGACACTTGCCAGTGCTATTAGTTTTCAGATCTAGTTAAGGCATTCCTTACTTTCTCGGTCTGAGCGTGAATGTATGTGCTTATAAAAGTTTTATGTCAAATGGTTTTTATGATTTATCATTGATGGGCCATTTCATTTATGGTCATGAACACATTTCAAATGCTTATTTACATTTGTATATACCTTTTGTTTTCTAGATAAGAATGTTTTCGACAGAACAATGAAGTTCTTAAGAGCTGGATTTTATGTTGGTGTGTTGACCAATATTTTTGGGTTCTGACACCTCAATTATTTTTGCATTTATCATAAAAAAATGAACAACTTTATTATTCTAAAATGCATTTTTGAGTTAGTTGTCACAGTTGAATTGAATCTGTTGAAAACTTTTCATGGAATTTCCATTTATCCCGTAGAAGTTCTGCAGGAATTCAAATCCTAATCTGACCCTTTGCATACATAATTTTGAGCTTAAACCTTGAAGGCTAAGTATGATAAAACTACTAACAGGAGCCTTGTTTGCATGTTAGATAACGGATGTGCTGTGCTCTGCTTTATGCTTTTAATGATGGTGACTATTTTGTTGCATTAGTTCTTTCCTTTTTGACTGTTTCTTCTCATTGTTCCTTTCTTTTCAGAGATCGGGTTATGAAGTTTACGTGTTAGAAGCTACATATAAGGATCCTGTGGTGAGTGTGTGCATAATGTCTTTCCTTTATAAGACTTCTGTCACATTGGCTGATATATGTTCATTGTTTCATTTCTAATGTTGACTTGACAAGTTGTTGCTTTTGTATAAATTGAACAAGAGTTCTTCCTGAATTTTTCAAAAAGCTAATAATTAGGTTGAATTCCAGGGATGTGCAGCTAGGAACGTGCATGGTTTTACTCTAGAGGATGTCCAACAGATGGCAGAACAATGGGAAGAAACTCCGTCATTATACATACAACTTGATATAAAGGTTTGCTGTTACTCAGCTTTCAATTCTAAATATGGTTGAAATTTTGGAAATTCTAGGAAAGTTCGTCATAGTTGGAAATTTTATAGAACTTGGAATCATTGAATCGCAGTTACTTTGACATTATATAACAAAAAACATCATTTCTTATGAATGGTGTATTTTGCTAATATGACAGACATTAATCCATGGAGATGACCTGAAGGAAAGTGATATTCAGGAGGTAATTGACTTTCATATCATGCTAGTCCAATTGTAATCTTAATTCTGATTGTGCCTTCTACTTGCAACTTGAGAATAAGTTTTTTAGTTTGTTAATGGCATGTATGACTAATTATTTTTGCTCATTTATTAGTACTTACCTTAATCACTTCTAGTCCAAATGTTTCTTTGCAAGTAGAATTTGTTACTGCACCTAAATTGAAATGTATCTTTAACTTCTTTTATCTGACAAGAGGAAGATGGGTTGTAGTTAGAAAGTCACTAGGAAAATCTCTTTGTAGTAGCCTTTTATAACTTGTTTCCACACTGCAGTTTGCTATTTTCTTCACTCTGCAAGGGTTGTGGTAACACATTAATATTTTGATTTGTAGCTGGAATTCTAAATAGTTTAACCTTGTTTCTCATTTTATATCTGCCAGGTCGACATGGACATGGAAGATGAAAATAGTGAAGAAGGATTATCAGGACAGCAAGAACAAAAACTGAGAAATTGAACTTACCAGCCGTAAGAGACCATGCTCGTGAAGGTATATTTTTCAATTCATTTATGTGCCTTCTGCATCATTTTCCACTCAAATCATGGTTAGCCATCACTTCAACCTCCATCATGAATTACAAGCACATCCACGCACACAAGATACATGGAAATACTTGTTTATGTTAAGAATATTATCTGTTATATTGGGTTTTTGGCAATCTATTTTTATGATTTTAATTTGTATCTCAAATGAGTTTTGATACTTTGGGTGTAGGTGTCGGAATCTGTTGTGAATCTGACACTGATATGTACTTTGTTTCTCAAACGCAAGAGATTTTTAGTTACAATTTTCACATATTTGTTGGTAGATTGTGTATATATTTGCTAGGTTACTTGAAACAGGAGCTTTAGCTATTTTATATTATTTTTTGTTTCAGTAATATTTATTAATTGTAAGACCTTATGGACGGCTAAGATTATAAGGTATTTTTAGGGTTTCAATCTAGGTTTAGGATTATTAGTTATCTTTTGGGCTTAAATCTAGGGCTAGGATTATTAGTTTTCTTTCAGGTTTTTTTTTTTGGAGAAAGTTTTCTTTCGGGTTTAAATCTAGGGTAAGGGGATAAAATAAGCTGTACAATCTTTACAGCCACATATTCTTATACTAGGGATTTTTGTAACCCTAGTCCCTAAGTTTTCAAAGGTTCCATCTTTCATACTCATTTGTTCAGCCTTAATTCTATTTATTTACTGTTGCTTCCCCCTTAAACCACATCATTATGCATTCTTGGATAATGGTTAATTGGTTACTGTATATATGAATAACTCTTCATCGTTTACCACTTTGAAATGTTGCTGTGGAGTTTCTGAACAATAAGGATCAGAGATTTTCGTTACTGAATTAGGATCGTATCATATTAAATCTTGCCATAAATCCAAGACTCCTTATTATAGGCTGGTCTGGGGAGTTGTCATCTATTGATTGGTTAGGCCATGAAAGTTTGAGGATTCTATAATGCCAGTAATTCATGATTGCCTATGAAATTCTTTGCTGTTTGATTGAAGCTACTATAGCAACATTCCCAAACAATTTGAAGATAAACTAGGAGGTAAATACTTGAGAGAAACCCAAGGGCAGAGGATAATTAAATGAAAATTAAGTACTTAGTGTACAGTACTGGCAATTTTTGTGCATTATTTGTTTTTAAAAGCACGCCTAAGGCACGGGGTGCAGTGAGCGCGAAGAAGATCACCTCTGATGTGGTGGGCGCAGTGCAGTACCAAAGCGCTTGTTTGGGCGCTTTTTTGAGATTTAAATAAAATTATTCTTAATTGTTTTAATAAAGCTAAACCGACACCCCAAGCCTCTCCATTTTATTTTGAAGAAAGAAAATTCAAACGAAGGCCACCAGCTCACCCCAGCACAATCCCACCTCCTTCGCTACACCACAACACCACCGGAGCTTTCCAAGACCACCTTTGCACTCTGTTAACCGCCACCCGTCAGATATGCCTTCTCTTCTCCATTAATTGGTCTGTTAAAACTAAAGCATTCAGAAGAGAAAAAGAGCTTTTTCACTAATCTCCTTTGGTGGTTATAATATGAGTGTATTTAAATACTTGGACCCAAAAATAGAAGAAATCAGAAGAAAAGAAGGGCTACAGATCTCTGTGTCGGTTGGTGGCATTGGTTATTTTTTTTAATCATTTAATTTTTTAATTATTTAAATCGAGTATTAAACCTTTTAAATTAGATCATCTCAAGTTATTTATTCAAATTATTGTGAGAATAATTCAGTTTTGATCCTTCAAATTTTGGTTTTTTATTACGAATGAAAATTTAAATCATATTTTTTTTATAGTTAAGTTCAATTAGATCGAATTATGATTTATCAATCAGATCATGTTTTAGGTTTAGATCATAATTGTCAAATCTCCTAGGAATGATGTTGGCCTATTAAATATTTGAATGATGTTGAATATTTGATTTTTAAGTATTTATAATATTATTATAATGTTGTTTGAGTATAAAATATGTTCTATATTGATTTATAGGTTTTTAGTATAAAAGTGTGCCTCGCCTATGCTCTTGGGACCCTTTGCGCCTTGTGCATAATAATTTTCACTTAAGAATATAGGTTTATCATTTAGATCATTTTCTATATTATAAGTTTAATAGTTTCAAGCATCTTAATTTCCATTCAATAAATTAGTATTGTGCGTAAACAAAAAAGTTTACTGATGCAATTAAATTCTTACCTTACTTGAAGAAAATTCAAACTGACATTAATTCTTACAACAGAATTTTATTAGAAGTAATGAGGGTATTTGTCATCTAGTAAGCTCCTACAGCACGTTTTTTATGTAGTGATGTTCAATATTTTCTGTTTGACACGCTATTAAATCATCCAATTTTCCTATGATTTGGAGCTTTAGAGATTTCAAAGGATGAAAACAGATGGGATGCAGAGGAAGATCATCCTGCAGAGGTGAAGGAATTAAGTAGGAGTAAATGGTCAAGTAATTGGACGAAGATGAAACTGAAGGATCAAAGCTGTGAAGAGGAACTTGAATGCTCTCTGGGTTGATCCAAGTGTATGGGAACAGGAAATCTGTGCACTGGAGTGATAAAGGTATTCCTTGTATAACAAAACAATATTTTTAGTATGTAAGCTCATGTTTTATTTACTGGGTAAACAATTGCTCGGCATGCATTTCTATATATGTCCATATTGATGAATGTGGCTGTTATGAACATTTCAACCTGTACGTACAATGTATCTTAGGGAGCCACAGTCCCTCCTTCACTATGTAGCATGAGTACAGACACTATGGGCACAACATGATACAACAGGGAAACTTTTTAAATAAATTATGATATGTATGGCAGTAAAACTATATTTCAAGTAGTATAGCTATTTGTATGGTAATATAGAAAAGGGAAGGGTAATGTACTTTTGGCCTTTGACTTTGGCTATGATCTGCTGTTTGACGCTTGACTTCTTTTTTGGTGCAATTTGGCTCGAGTTTTTGCTTTGAGCTGCATTTGACCCCTTATTATTTTTGTACAATTTTAAATAATGGTTTAATTTTTATTTATAAATTAAAAAGATCTTAAGTGTTAATGTTGAATTTAATTTAATAATTTAGAATTTTGCCTTAAATCTTACCATCTTAATTCTATATTAGAAATGATAGGAAAACATGATTTCAGGACTTCTATAACTCTGGCTGCCTTTTTCCTGCGTCTTGGGTGATCCATAAACCAGTGAAAAGAATATGCATTAATACTTGATAGAAACCAAAGACCCTTCTAACAGGTTTTCTATTTTCATGTGATCTCGGTGGCATTTAGCGTTGTTCCAGTGACTTTTATAGTCAATTAGTCATATCAGGTGTCTGTGTCATTGATTCTGAGGCTTTCTGGTTTAACGTATTTCCTGGTGGATTTTAACCTGTGATTTATTTGGTTATTTGTCAGGGTGGCGACACTGGGTTCTTAATAGGTGCAGCCAAGAAGGCCAAGATATTGTCTCTAGTGATTGGGCCAGGAGCTGGTTATAACTTGGTCAGTTACACAACTTTCACATCTATTCTTTCAGTTTTACCCGGTTTGATTTAAATGGAAAAAGAACTACATTCCTGTTAGTCGACTGTTAGCTCTGTGTACCAGTTTCATGAAAGCAAATTGCTTCCCACTAGGAAGCCAGTGAATGACTATTAATTTCTGGTTTTATATTCAATTTGATTAATTGAAACTTGGTCAGTTACACAACTTTCACATCTATTCTTTCAGTTTTACCCGGTTTGATTTAAATGGAAAAAGAACTACATTCCTGTTAGTCGACTGTTAGCTCTGTGTACCAGTTTCATGAAAGCAAATTGCTTCCCACTAGGAAGCCAGTGAATGACTATTAATTTCTGGTTTTATATTCAATTTGATTAATTGAATACCCTTGGCCTTTCAGTTCAATAGTTGTTACAGAAGCTAAATTTTAACTTTCTTGTAACTTGTGCTTTCACCTCTTCACTTGCAGAAATCCAACCCATTACCTAGAGAGGAGAGTCATACATCCAACAGCATTGGCAATTCAAAGAAGCAAAGTTCATTCCAAGAGAGGCTCCGTGCAGAGCAGGAATCCTTTAAAGCTGTTTTTGACAGGAAGAAGAGGATTGGCGGGCTTGATCTTGACGAGGATCAGTAAGTCGAAAAAGCCAGGTGAGTTATTGCCTTGTAGAGTCGTTAGGCGACTGCATTTGAGTAGACATGGCCATATTTGTAGAGGTGATTCAGTTTTTTTGTAATTCAGAATGAGAACTCATAGTCGATATCTCCTATGGTAGATATATTATTTTGTATGGGTTCCAACGTCGTCAGTTTTTGTCATGCATTCCATGACGTTCTCACAAAGTCGTTCTTGTTATGTGGCCAATTTGTTGGTCATTATCGTTTCAATATTTTGCGATTTTATGGATAATTTCTGTACTTTTAATTCTCATATTACGATTGATCAATTTTTTTTATTAATACGAAGTACAAGATAATATTTGTTGAAAGATAATTCTAAACACTTTTGACATATTATTTTTGTGTATATGTTATATTTTGTGTTCGGCTATCTTTTTTTGGATGAATATGTGATTATGCGTCTAGTAATTCGAATTATATAAATATTATAACTCTAACGATCTTTCTTTATTCACAAATCACAATATAAAACTTTAACTCCATAATACAAACAAATTAATACGATCGTATATGTACAAATTTTATATCTTATTTATTGAATTAAAAAGAATCCATTTGTTGGTTAATTCAACCAAATTTATGTTTTATAAATCAATTTAGTCATATATATAATTACCGTATTATTTACATATTTAAATTCATTTGTAGCGTTTCTTGTTTTATCATAGAAGATAGATATTTTTTTTTTAATCAATTACTTAAAATAGCAATTATACACCTAAGGGATAGTAATATAAATTGAATCATTATCACATATAAAAGAATATGTTTGAGTCTTAATTGAGTCGATCTCATATTACAACATTTAAGAATACACGAGTTTGAACTTATTTAAACATATTCTATCCCTTGATCTATAAATAACAAGAAATATCCAAATAATTTAGATACCATGTAAAAACAAATTAAAAAATATAAGTTGAGCAACAATTTGTAGTACACGTACCTTGTTGGATAGTGCAAGAATACCATGTGTAGGAGGAAGCTAAGGTAGCTAATGCAATGAAGAACAGCAAAGTCCAGATTTATAGGTGAAGCTTGGAATAAGACACCTATAGATTCACAGAAATTAGAGTTACATCTAATATTATAAAGCAAACAATCCCCATTTATAAATCCTCGTACATTCTCAAAAAATTATAGAGAATTAATAGATCTCGATTGTTTTATTAGACCCAGAAAAACAAGCAGCAATTTGCTTATCGACATTCCCATAAATAGTTTATCAATGGCTAATGTAGGAGATCAAAGGCGCTCTGGTAATCGTGTATCTCACTAGTTTGAGCCTTCCTCTGATTGGACTCATGACAATAAAGCCAGTTATCTTTTCCTTGATCTTTCTGGGACAATTCAAAATCTTTCTTTTTCATTTATATATTAGGAATTTTTTATATATTTTAGATAATTTTATTGATAATCTATTTTCGTCATCACTAAAACTCTATAATTCGTTTCTACGTAAAATTTTTGTGTTGGTCGATATTCATATCTATTCTTTATGTGTGTGGTATGTTGAATAAGGTTTTACAAAGGAGCATCTGAGGCTTGAGCTTGCTTTCAACGGTCACATAATCATCAGTGAGAAAGAGTAGTTGATGACAACAAATCCATATATTTCGAGCAAAGCTTCCATTGCCTAATTCGGATACGGATAAGGTCAATGGAAATTCGAAGATGATCTTCTTCACGTTACAGTTCCCAAGCTATCTGTTGCAGAAGAAGAAAATCATGCAGCCGATGGCATACGTGAAACGAGTGTTCCATCGGAGACCTACGTTAACCATGGTGAAAACCAAAGCAAACATGAGGATCACGAGCGACGGAGTGGTGGTGGGGCGTCAATGAAGCCGGCAAGGAAGGTAGCCAAGTTGCGAGCTTTCCGGAGGAAGAGATGAAGAAATGGGAAGATGAAGGTCCATTGGAGATGGCTATCAAGTTTATTAAGGAAAATAGAGGGGCCGTTGTTTCGGTTATCATTGCATTTCGGTTGGGGTTTTCATTTGTCGAACTTTTGATTGATTGAATCTGTATGTATGCACACAATAAAACAAAACTGAACTTCAACCGAAGAAAACTTCCATTCCTTGTCTTTTACGTTCTCCCGATTAGGGTTGATCAAAATTTAATTTAACTCGAAAAATTGATTTTTTTTTTCATTTCGAGTTATTTTGAGTGAGTTATTTAAATTCGAGTCGGGTTGAAATTTTGAATTTTTGAGATACTTGAAAATAAAAAATTTGACCAAATACTTTGATATTTTTACGATTTAGTCCCTAATTTCATTATTTTTTCAATTCCTCCTTCATTTTAAGTCCATTTTTATCATTTGAATCACATGCACTTAAACCATAGTAGAATACATGTGTACTTTCAATTCCACTTTTTGATAATTTTTTTATTTTTAAATTTAGTCCTTCAATTTTTCATAATATCATTATTTCTCCAATTCGTCATTTATTTTAAGTCATTTTTATCAAATTTGAGCCACATGCTCCTAAACCATAGTAGAATACATGTCTACTTTCAATTCCTCTTTTTTATAACAATTTTTTTTTTTCAATTTAGTCCTTCAATTTTTCATACCTCCTTATTCCTTCAATTTGTAATTTATTTAAGTCAATTTTTTACCAAATTTGAACCACATGCTCATATACCACAATAGAATACCTATATAACTTTAATTGTTATTTTTTTAACTAAGATATACTATTTTTTTATTTAGTCCCTAAACTTTGCATTTTACTCATTTGATCTTTTGACCACAATTGTTTGCAAATTCTTTATTCTCATCAATTCCTTGACTCATTTATACTCTAATAATATTTTACCCTCAAAATACTTTCTTTAAAATACAATATTATGAATATATTTCATAATTTTAGATCATATTTGATATATTAAATGACATTATAATATGAAAGAATATATATATATATATATATATATATATATATATATTATGGTTAGATAAAGTCAAAAAAATTGGAACAAATCATTGTCATAACACTATAAATAATTATAATAAAATTAGTACAGAAACTCAAATAACTCGACTCGAATCGAAAAAAAACTTCAAGTTTGAGTTGTAAAATACGATTTTCAACTCGAAAGTTTTTTACTCAACTTGACTCGATCAAATGCTCACTTCTACTCCCGATCCAAATGCAGTTTATGGCTCAATCATGAGGATATTAACAACCCTAATCATGGTGACATCAACTATGTGAGATAAAAGTTAGAACTGTCCTACACTATTTAGGATAAACTACACATTTACTTCCTATCATTTTTGTTCTTTTTTTTTTTGCTCTATAATTATTTATTAAGGATTTAAACAAAACATCCTAAAACCTAAGTTGTATGCCTTGTTAAAACCTCCTTAAACATATATGAATGAAAGAGACACACAATTACAACCAATTCAAAAAGATACTAACCGAGAACCAACATCCAAAAACCAATAATACCCCAAAGGCACCAAACCAAGACTAAATACATCTTTACCTAGCAAGAGTGGCCAAAGAAATCCACCAAGATATCAAAAAGTTATCCGCTTCACACCACATTTTTTTCTACCAACAAACTCAGTATGAATAACCCCAAGACAATGTTCGACCAACATGTAAAACAAGTAGTTCATTGAACTCCTCTACATCACAATAATGTCATGAACCGCGACCATGAGGGCGAGTCCAACATCCACCAACGCACACCCTCGCGCACCAAAGCACTATCAGACCCAGACGCATCATGCGGTGTGCCAAGTATGCCTGATGCACCAAGCTCGCACCCGAATCGGATAAGGTCGAGCACACCATGACTTGGGCCCTCTCCAAGCCAAGACCGACCCTCTCTAAGAAAAGGGACAAAGCCACCATCATTGTTTAAGTAGGATTCAACCTTTAGACTTTTAACTAAAGTATGAATGTAGTTTTAGTTAGAGTAGAAGTAGACTTAGACATTAACTCTTAGGGGATTCTCATTATAAAAGGGGGTCTCCCCCTATTGTATTAATTCATTCTTTTCTCTTGGAAATAAGACTACCCTGACTTTCAAGCCAAATACTCTTGTGTATCTCTTATTTCTGTTCATACTCTTTTATTCTTACTTTCGCAACAAGTTAAGCAACCAAATTTAGGTGTTCAAGGCATCCTTAGAATTCAACAACGGAGCAAAACGACTAAAGGCCGCAGAGACCAATTAGCCAATAGTCTAGCCCCGTGTTAAGTGGTATCAGAGCCATGAGCCAGGTTCGTGACTAGACGAGATGGCTTCACAACGTGGTGTGATAGCCGCATCTGAGGGCGTCGAGACTCGCAACGCAGAGAAGAAGCGAGGAACGTCGAAGGACATGCTCGCATCGCTCCAAGGTAAGATCACCAGACTTGAGGACTCTACGAGAGAGACCAATGAGGATGTGCAAGCAGAACTCAATCTTGAGAAGCAGGGATCACTAGATCTCGAGAAGCTTTAAGCCTTGGAGAACATCCTGGAGGATGTGCAAGCAGCACTCAATGGATTCTATACGAAGAGTTCTCAACAAGAATATATTGTCAAAGCCCAAATCCTATCTCTAAGGAACCTAGGTGGAGTTCAGACTGAATTTAAAGAATACTTTACCCTCATCATGCCGAGATCGAGGCACGATCAAAACTAAGTGTCTTGGCATGAAGGCCCACTGAAAGAGCAGTTCGATAACTTATCGAGTTAAGCCTTCAAGTCTCGAGTCTAAGTGAAGAGGACGTGTTCTTCACCTTTATGGATAGGCTGAAGCCATGGGCAAAGAACGAGCTAGAACGTCAAGGAGTCACAGATGACGCCAAATCCTTGACCAACGCTAGTCACTATAGAACTTGGGGTCGAAAGTATGATTAGGGAGTGCCCTTAAAAAATCAACTTTCTGTCATCGAAGAAATAAGAGGAGAAGAAGAAGTTGAGACTCTTAAACTTAGATCCATCATTAGTACCATGG